GGTGGGGGGGGGGGGGGGGGGGGGGGGGTTTTTTTTTTTTTTTTTTTTTTTTTTTTTTTGGAATTCTTGGATGCCACAATAAGTATGATGCTTGTTTGTTTGTCCCAGGGCACGCTTAATTTATGCAAAACAGCTCAACGAGCAAATGGACAGTTACGAGACCGGCTCCGCACCTCCCTACAGAGCCTCTGTAGTTTTGTAGAAGTTCCGCTGATATGATGAGCAGGCAAGAAAACGGACACGCTGACCTGGATGCCTACAGGTAACGTCGCTAACACTATTTGCGTCCTACATCCCTACCAGCCCGATCACTCACTTCTGCTAAGTTACCTTACAGGCAGCGATACCGAAACAAATGTCGCAGACCTTGGTAACGCCCGTCGACAGGCATAATTTTGAGAGGACTGCTCCAGAAGAAGCTGGCTCTACAACACCTCGAGCCGGCGGTGCCAGTGGGCGTGTACGAGAGACACACGCATTCGTGGACAAAGGGTCATGATCTGGCGAAACTAGAGAACTGACGAATGGGAAGACAAAGAATTGGATCTACAGAGTATAAGTCCAGAACATCACAGTGTTACGGGAGAATAAGGAAACTTTGGGGACGTGAATTATCCAGATGTCATAAATTTGCTTATGAAAGCGAACCTTTTAAGTACCTACCGCAAGCTCGCTGACATTCACACCCTCCACAAGGTAGAACTGCAGACATGTCTGCTTTAAGAATTCTCAGAGTGTGATCTAACATCGACAATCTCAAGATGATATGTGAGACTATTGGGACAAAGTTATTGAGATTTGCAAATGCTATAGACAGGCCAAGGTCAGGATCGCCCTGCTTCTTTCTCCTCTAAACAAGAAAAATCTGAGTTGTCTCCCATTCCTTCGTCAGTTCATTATCAATAAGACAAAGACCGACCTTTCTAAACTCATGCCCATTCTCACTCGTCCTATTCACAAGAAGACACCAAGCCTGACACATCTCCTTCTTTGTCACCAAATCCCCCGGCTTCTTGGTTTTCCTTGTAAATTCCCTCGCTTCTTGCAATGAATATTCAAGCTTAGTTTCAGTCCACTCACTCAAACACGTTCGGTCTTTGGGGGCTGTATTATCAAGCTTCTCTTGCTTTGCAGCCATATCAGCCAATTCCAGTAGTGAGTATTTGAGTTTAGTCTCAGTCCATTCACTGTATGAGATCTTGATGCATCCAACTCTCCCAGCAGCCAAATCTTCAGTCGGGATTAGTAGTTGGAATTTTATATCTCCGACATCGACACCTGGACCAATGGGTAGAAATGGAGCTGAGATCCTCAACTTGTCAACCTGTTGGTTCTCCCCAAACTCATCACCCATCGGAAAGGCCCTCTGAGCTCCTTCGCTGTTTTGCAGGGCTGTGATATCCGCAACGGGTGTGAATATCTCTTCATATCTCATTCGCGGGAAGTCAACTGCTTGTGGATACAAAAGATTATTGTACTGCACAGCAGTCGCCCAGGACCAAGATGGTGCATGCGATTTCTCAACCGGGTTGTCAGTCTTCACACCGACTGTGAACCAGAGTATTCCCATATGCATATCATTTCCCCAAAGACCTGCATAGTATGCTCCAAGTCCTGCATTTGACTCTGTTCTCGAAATATCTTGAAGCTCTCTCGCTACTGCGCCGATTGCTGGGAAGATATCCTCAGCGCAGGTGATGGATCGCCTCGTGTACTCCTGAACCGCTCTTCGCCACAGGAGCTTCGCATCTCTACACAATCCATTAACGAGAACTTAAACCACCCAAGGAATTTCCTTACATTTTCTGGCTGTTCGTCTGAGCCAAATCCCGCTTAAAATTCGCTTTCACTGTTTCACTCCTCATCTCAAACCAGGGATATTTCTCGCTCAATCGTTTCGTGCGACAAAACCACTTCATTTCCATCTTCCCCCAACTCAACTCCCTCACTGCCAGCGCGCTCTCCTGAAAAGTCCAAGCTCTCGTCCCCAACGACCCAGAATCTTTCAACCCTTCTTTCAGCGCGAAGGGAACAGGATAAACAAAACAAGTCTCCTTTGTCGGGGAGATAGTACTGCGATACGGAAGTTTCACATTATAGCTTTTCTCCAACACAGTATTCCTCATCCCCTGATTTGCTTCGAAAACCCCGATTCTGCTGTGCGGTGAAGCATCTGCTGAGATGCAAAGGGTGGAATTTTTGTATATATTCCCCATTTGCGCAGCTTGCTCTGTCCAATCTTCTCGGCTGTCTTGGATTATACATAAGGAGTCGATCCACAGATATCGGTATCCCAATCTTCGAGTAATAAAACAAGCATCTTTAAATACAGCAGGTAGATCGCCGATTTCAATCCCATTGACTCGAGAGGAAAGTGACGCGAGTTCTGTTTTCAAAGGGGCGAAATCTGGATGTCCCCAACACCAGCTTAGAGCGATCCATTCTCCTCGCTCGCCTGGTTCTGAGATATATAATTTTTGTGTGGTGGTTGTTGAGGTTCCGAGATCGAGGACTCGTTTTGGTAGAAATGGCATTTCTAGACTTGAGTTTCTGCACTCGTGATGGTTTCTCTGGCAATTTTCAAGCCATCTCTGGGCGAGTTCCAGACATGCTTCTGACTCTCCTCTTCCACTTAATCGTCGTCCCGGAAAGCGATCAGATATCTCACTCCCTGAGCAGTTGTGTTAACCTGTGAACTGCTCTCAAGTCCTGTATCAACGTACCCTCATCAACGTAAAGAGGAATTAGTATCTGCTGCCCACCAACATCCAAACCTCCAATTGCTCCCTTCCCAGCAATCTTCCTCTCCGCCTCTTCAAACACAATCAAGCATTTACTCCCATCATTCTTGCATATAATCACTACCCTCCCTTTATAATCCTCAGTCACACCATTGTTTCTCTCATCAGGAAAGAAACTACCAACAATTTCTGTAGCGTTGGTGTTACCTCCTGCATTTCTGATTCTTTCTGAAGCGATCAGAGAGCATAAATCACAGTCGCCTCTTTTTGCACAGAGAAGAAGACTGGATATGCTGGTGTGGTGTTTGAAGCCTGTGGTTTCGACGACTGAAAAGTCGATGGAATTGCAATGTTTACAAAGACGAGACATCTTTGAGTACCGATAAGGGTGACAAGGGGAGAATTGAAGAAGAAAAAAAATCAAAGAGAGGACAGGACATGCGGAATATTGCGAGGTGTGACGAAATATACCTACAGCTGAAAGCCTCAATACTTGGCGTAAAGCTGATATGCACCTAAAACTGTGAAGGAAGTGCAAGGTCTGTTTCGCCTAACCGAATGGAGTTAGTTTCGTTAATTAGAAGTATTAAATTATATATTAGAAGTCACTACAATACAAGTATAAGAATATTCATTTCAAACCAAACTAAATTATAAGTAAATGACTACTTTAACTTGAAATAATTAGCTGTTTATTTTTATAAACTTATAATTCATTAAACAAACATGAAATCAAAACACATTTTGCTTTTCTAAGCTTATCAGGGTTCTCGATAAATGAGGACACACGGTGCTAAGGCAAGGCGACCAAAAAAATGCGGAAAACCATTGGAATCACTGAGTAAGGTGTTTTTGATTTTGGTGTTAACACGGTAAATAAGGGTAAAGTTTTACTTTTGATTCGTAATAATTGTATTTGTATGTATCCACTTGCTCAAGATCAGAGAATTGCGATATAATCACTATCTTCTTCACTCTCGTTTTATAAAAAATGTTCCAAACTTGACGTTATACGTAGGAGTTAGCTGGTCCTTCGTCATTCGCTTCTAATAAAAACAAAGACTATAACAAAAAGAAAGGAATAAACAAGCGATATGAGATGAACAATGAATAAAGAAAAACCAAAGCAAAAGATTGAATTCTTAAAAAATGCAAAATAAATTGGACCCTGCCGGACAAGTCATCACACCCAAAGGGTTGTAAACGACTTGCCCGGCTCGGGTCGTGGGACCTCGTTAGCATTCGAACCTAAATCTCACCGCGCTCCAAAATTAGCAGTGTGTGCTACCATTGCAGCACAAGGTCTTCTTCGAAGTAAATTGATGAGATCATTTGAACTATCTAGATCTTTGGATCAGGTAAAGAAATTGTACATATACCTAAACACAATGTAGTCTAATCTAACCTAGCCTTATCCCTGACGAGAATCCAGAAGTGGAATGAATAGTGAGTGGAGCACCAATTACGCGATAAAGTAGTTTTGTTCTTCACTGCTGTTGTCTCTCAATGTATGTTTTTTCACCTAGTCTCATCGGCTTTCTGCCACACCATGGGCAATACTCCGTTCCTGGATCCTCGTACGTGGCGCCCTTCCAACCGCAGGTGTGGCATTGAGCGTACCAGCCATAGTTATTGGGATCGCTGTATGGATTGTACTGTTTTGGAGGGGGTTGTTCCTTCTTCTTGCTGTTGTTGTTGTTGCTGCTCATCTTGATGGATTTGATTGATTGGTTGGGCGAAAGTGGTAGGTCGATGTAAGTATGGAGGGAGTGTGGATGCGTGGATGTGATATGCATGGCCTTCTCTACTGTCTTAAATGCCTTACCGTATCTCCTGTTCTATTCTAAACATAAAAGACCTAACGTGCTGTCACGTACTTTACATATGTAGTCTACAACGTTGTGATGCTATTGCATCTCACTTAAAACTCATTTCTCAACTCAAATAGAAAAGAATAAAGAGCCCCTCTAAAGCAAGGAAAGAGACTGAGTTGAATTCGCTTTATTGAAAATACACTTTAAAGCAATATCTTCAAGGGTTGATTGTATTAATGTTCCTAATCACACAAAGACCCCTCAAAGCCACCAACATAAAGAAAATAACCCACAGCATCCACAAGAGAAAAGAACATTGAAACGGTTAGCAAAATACAAAATAGATTTTGTGCATTGGGGCAACCGGATCCAAAATACCTCTGCAGCGGCAAATGGAAGGGGACCCCGAGCTCGAGGGACCTCATTAGGAATCGAATCTAAATCTCAAAGCGTATTTATTCTTTGCTTTGCGTGCTACCAGTTGCACCATGAAGTCTGTGATATTTGATGTGGGGGGTTGGTTATTTTGGTAGATGGAGGGGATAGGGGGATGCTTGTTTTGGTGAATTTGAGGTTGGGTTAGGTGTTGATTTGGAAGCGAAAGATGGTGAAGGAGGTTGGGGCTTGGCGTTGGGTTTGAAGAGGGAGGGATTGGAGGAAGAAAGAGAAAAAAAAAGTCAGTCAGTTATTCATTATTGTATATATCATCAATTCAAATAAAGATAAATGGGATAAATTAATAAACACCGACGGTTTCAAACTTAACACCAAAAACATGATTTCTTGTCCCCTCACTGCCTTCCCTCTTTCCGCCAAAAAAATAATCTCCCACGGGGCTCGAACGAGGATCGAACTCGTATCTCACAGCGCATAAAATTCAATGCTGTGCGTAATCCCATTATACCATCAAGCCTTTTTCTTTTCCTGCTGGGTGGATGTTTCTGCCTATTTCGAATCTTGTTGCTTGGTGGGAAGCAAAGGGTGCAGGCAGCAGCTGCAGCAGTCAGTCAGCCTGCGAGGGGGGACAAACGGAATTCTTGGCATTTACCAAGGTGGAGGATAGAGGGAAATGAAATGGTAGGATATGTTTATGGGAGAGAAGGCTGGATAGGGATGAGCGAAATCGCTTGGTTTGTCACTTGAATTTATTTAAGGCAGGTCAAGGAAGCAGGATTCTAAAGGTCTGATCATAATGAGGCATGCCGTCAGGGTCGGAGGAGTCCAGTGGCTTGGCAATCAATGTGCAGGTTGCAAGCCGAATATTTCGAGGCTTGAACTCGAATTTTGCGACGTGCAATAAAACCTCGCCAAAAAAAACTCTTTCGGAACCAATGAATGTTCAAATCCGAATTTCTTTCTGATTGAGTTTTTAGCGAGGTTTTGTTGCACGTCGCAGTTTCGAATTCAAACGAAGGCTCTGCTCCAACTTCTCACTCACTTTTTTCGACCTCGCTTATTGAGATGGACCACCTGTGATCTTTGAGAGACCTTATCAACGATCAATAAGACTAAATCCCAGCCAGAAAAAACAGAACCAATCATCTTCTTAGAACAACAAAGTCTTAAGCTCTATTTGAGCAGAGGAGAACGAATAACACACGCCTTGGAAAGCCCTCGATGGACAGCGCGCCGGGGCGGAGCTGTTCCGCTGCGGGCGCCCTGTCGAACTCCCAGGAACTCATCCAACGAAGTTTATCAAGGCCGGCAGTCCAGTTAAATGGGGGACTAAGGACGATAAGTATATCGGATGGGAAGTTCCAACGAATTATGCGTGTCTTATCTGAAGTTCTGGTTGTTCTAGTCGGTGTGGTTGGTTTGGTAGTTACCGTGGGCTTGAGGCTGGCTGAGGTGAGGGGTCGTGGCAGTTCCGCAGCCTCTTGTGGTGCTGTACGACATGGTGTTGTCGAGTATAGATAGATAGGTCAGGTAGGTGGGCTGAGAGAAGGGGATAGTTCAGCTGAGAATTCTTTTCAAGAGATATCTCTTACTCTCTTACATCTCTTACATCACTTCACAACACCACAAAGAAACAGAGTCTATCAA